CACCCATATATCCTCTTCTATCAGTAGAGGAGAGCTCTCCCCTTGCTGATCCCATGCACACCTGTTTATCCATCATTTGTTTCTCCATCTCTTCTCTCTACAAATCCGTCTAATGCAAGCCTCTCTTTCAATTATCAATCCTCTTCTATCAGTAGAGAAGAGCTGTCTCTTGTTCATCCCATGCACACCTGTTTATCCATCATCTGTCTACAATCTGTCTCTCCATCTCTCTTCTATATATCTGTCCAATACAAGACTCTCTCTTATCCATCCATCCTCTTCTATCAGTAGAGGAGAGCTCTCCCTTGCTGATCCCATGCACACCTGTTTATCCATCATCTGTCTACAATCTGTCTCTCCATCCCCTCAATCTATATATCTATCCAATGCATGCCTCCTTTTCCATCATCCATCTATCCTCTTCTATCAGTAGAGAAGGGCTGTCCCTTGTTCATCCCATGCACACCTGTTTATCCATCATCTGTCTACAATCTGTCTCTGCATCTCTCTTCTATATATCTGTCTCTCCATCATCCATCCATCCATGCTCTTCTATCAGTAGAGGAGAGCTGTCCATTGTCGATCCCAGGCACACCTGTTTATCTATCATCTGCCAGTCCGTCAGATCTGCCCCCGGTGTCTGTGTATTGGCCCTCCACCGATCTAGTAGTGACCAATGCAGGGAGAGCAGTGTATGTGAGCTGAGCTTTGTACTGCACTACTCTCCCTGCGAGCATCTCCCCCCCCCCCCCCCCCCCCCCCGTGCGTGTGAAGTTTGCGGTGCTGTTCTCCCCTCCCTGATGTGATGATGCGGAGGAGGAATCCAGCCCGGAGCCCGCATCCCTCCTGGGAGCACCTGGCCAGCCGGGCGGAGTTTGCTCCTGTGCAGGAAAACAACGCTCCTTGTCTGGGGAATAGCGAACGGTATGCAGGAGAGGAGACAATGACAGACGAAGCAGAGCAGAGCCGCCTGCCACCATGTGAGCTGCTGCCGGGGATCGGAGCCGGGAGCTGTCCATTCAGCACCACCATCCAGAGCTGCTAACAGCTCATCATCATCATCATCATCATCCTCATCATCATCACATTGCCCTACAACTTCCCAGCCCTCCACCCAGGAGGACCCAGCAATCTGCCAGCCATCCATTCCACAAGCTGGGATGGGGATCCCCACAGCCTGCCATGGAAGGGGCAGAGGATGCCCCTGGAAGTTGGGTCACTGCATTTCCTTCAATGGCTTATAAAGTTCCCTCTGTGAAAGGTAGGATTTCATTCACCCAAAGCCTGGAAGGTACAATGGATCAATGATCAAGGAGCAATGCAACACTTGGCACTGCCTGTCATTGGATTACATAAAATGGCATCACACTACTTGGTTGTAGTAAACAATCATGGAGATTTCAGAGGGGATTTCCATATTCTGAACAGATGAGATTTACTGATCATAAATATATTTTATGATTCTTTTTTTTCTTCATCTCATATTGTGATATGACATCACCGAGCAATGACAGATATGCAGGGACATGTGTTAACATCTATGTAGTGTTCCATGCTGACATATAGTAAACTTAGTTATAATAAACAGTCATGGAGCTTCAGAGAGGATTTCCATATTCTGAACAGCTAAGATTTAGATCAGATCATACATATTTCCTATGGTTCATTATTGATTTCATCTTAGATTTTTCTACATGACATCACCAAGCAATGACAGATATGCTGGTACATGTGTTAACATCTATACTGTATTGCATGCTGACATACTTATAGTAAACTAAGTTATAGTAAACAGTTATGGAGCTTTCCTATAGAATGTCTACATTTTGGACAGTTTAGACTTACATGGATCACGTGATTATAAATATATCTTATGATTCTTTTTTTATTTCATCTCATAATTATATCACATCACTAAGCTGTGACAGATATGCAGGTACAAGTGTTAACAATTATGTAGTGTTCAATGCTGACATATAGTAAACTTAGTTATAATAAACTGTCATGGAGCTCGAGAGGGGATTTCCATATTCGGAATAGTTTAGATTTACTGATCATAAATATATTATAATTTCATCTCATATTATTACATGATATCACCGAGCAATGACAGATATGCAGCTACATGTGTTAACAGCGCTATGCAGTGTTGCATGCTGACAAACGTATAGTAAACTTAGTTATAATAAACAGTCATTGGGTTTTCAGAGAGGATTTCCATATTCTGAACACTTTAGATTTACTGATCCTAAATATTTCTTATGATTCATTATTGATTTCATCTTATATTTCTGCATGACATCACCAAGCAATGACAGATATGCTGGTACATGTGTTAACATCTATACTGTATTGCATGCTGATATACTTATAGTAAACTTAGTTGTAGTAAACAATCAGGGAGCTTTCATATAGAATGTCTATATTGTGAACAGATTACACTTACATAAGTCTCCTGATTATAAACATATCTTCCGATTCTTTATTGATTTCATCTCATATTACAACATGGCATCACTATGTAATGACAGCCATGCAAATCCATGTGTTAATATCTATACAGTATTGAACATTGACATAGTAAACTAAGTTATAGTAAACAATCGTGGAACTTTGATATAGAATGTTTAGATTCTGAACTGATTACACTTACATAAGTCACCTTATCAAATACATATGATATGATTCTTTATTGATTTCATATAAGATTACTACATGGCATGGCATCACTATGTAATGACAGACAAGCAGATATGCGTGTTAACATCTGTACTGTATTGCATGCTGACATGGAATTGCTATGGAATTTCTATATTCTGAACAGTTTGCACTTAAGCTCACCACACATGTTACAATCTGATTGTACAATCTCCGTTAAATATACCAACAACTATGTAGTGCAAAGGCTCACCTGATTGTATATAGGTTGATTGGATAGTTTCAATAGGTCTTCATATAACATCATTTTGATAGATCTAATGGTGGCCATACACATTTTGATAGATGACTGATTTCTTTTTCGATAAATAGAAATAATTGATCTATAGCCAACAACTTATTCAATCATTATGCCACACAAGTGGATTTTGACCAGTAGTTAAAGTTACCAATCATGTTTCCATCATGTACACTCATAATCTGATCAACTGAAATACAATCATATTCATGAACAAAATTGTCTCAGTGCTGCCGACTGATGCAAAATAATCAATAATTTTCCTCCCTGGCCGATCGATTGATTTTGATTGAATCTGATCAAAATCAGGTCTAAAGCAATCAGGAGGGAAGTTAATGATATTTATTTGTTTGCAGATTTGATCATTTTTATCATATTGCAAATCAATTGAATAATGTGTGGTCATCATAAAGGTGATTGTACAGATTTATATGCACAAATTGTAATGGTCACCATACACATTACAATCTGATTATACAATCTTTGTCTAGCCAATCAATCTGTATCCAATCAGGCAAGTCTTTGCACTACACAGTTTTTGGTAGAACTAAAGGAGATTGTACGGTCAGATTTTACCATGTGTGATGAGCTTAATGTGTATGGTGAGCCTTAAGTCGGTTGTAGATGATTCGAATTTTGGCCGGTCCAGCAGGAACTGGCCAAGATTTGAACCATGTATGGGCAGGCTGAATGTACTCAAGTTGATCAATCAATCAACCTGGTCACAACCAGCCTGCTGGATTTAGATGCGATTGTCACTAGCAGCTGTTATAGCTTTCCCAGCGTTCCCAGTGTTCTCCCAGCAGGGACAGTTACCCCCGCCCCTCCCCTTTTGCCTGGAGAATACTGTGGCTCGGCAGGAGGGATTTCCCTGTCAATACTGTTTGTGTTGATGTGGGAATCAAGCGAATTATTTACAGGTAGGATCACTAGGTGAAAATAAAGGCCAGCCACCACATCTAAGAATCGGTCAGCTGCAATATAATACATTTTTGGTTTTGGGTTTAATACCACCTTAAAGCTCATCTTCTAACCACAAAATACATAAATGAAATACATATATGAGAGCTCTTTTGCCTTCTACAGGCCATCCAGTTCTGCAATTTACACAGCTCTGCTACGGCACATATCCCTGTCTAGCACAGGGGGGGGACTTGATCTTTCTCTGCTGTAGATTCAGTATCAATTACACATCCCCTTCCCATCCCTATCCTGTGACTAGACAGTGAAAAGAGAAGCAGTGCATTGCTGAGCTCATCTCTCTATCACTCTTTCTTCCTGCCTGCATGCAGTGCTGTATTTAGTTCCTGTGCTGCACTAAAATTGGGTGCCCCCGCTGCCCCCAGCAACTCTCCTCCAACCAAATCCATCACCCCCGCCCCCGCCATCGCCAATATCCGCAAATCACCCCCCCTTTCCCATCCCACTGGCAGAGAGAGAGAGTTAGCCAAGCACTAATCTTAACCTCTCCAGAAAGCATCCGGCTGCTACGGGGCCAAGCCCAGTGTCTTCCTTCCTTGTGTGTTCCTTGTGCGGGAAGCTTACACCCTCCAGCAGCTTGCAGCCTCCTCGGATTTCATGGCAGAGCCTCACCAGGTTCCCATTCCTGCCATGTGTGACCCTTCTTCCAGGGTGGTGATGCTGCCCCCCTGAAAATTGCCTCACTAGTTCTGTTAATGCCAAGTCAAAATTCTGCACTGCTTGCTTTGAAAAAATACATTTAATGATGTGTTAATGAATGTAGAGCTGTATTAATTTATTAAATAGTGACCTTTATATCTGCCTGGAGCTCACCATTCACACGAATGTAACATGGTGTAGTAATATTTAAATCAACAAAAATTTGTAACATCTGTGTATGCTCTGTGACCCATGTAAATCTAAATTATATATATTTTTTACACAGATGTTGATATTCTGATTGCACTGTAAAGGTTGTCTTGGATTTATAACACAAGCTTGCAATGAAAAAGAATATTGATGTCATGTTCTGTCTTTCCTTTGTTTTGTGTAGGTCTGCCTTGAAGAGGCTTCTAAGCTCAATATGACAGGCACAATATTGAGGGATTTGTCTGAAACTGATTTTGGAGATACAGAGATTAGTATAAATGTCGGAGGGTTCAAGAAAAGGTTAAGATATGATACGCTGCTGAAATTCCCAGAGACTAGACTGTGCAAGTTGCTGGCCTGTCAGTCAAAGGAGTCCATCCTGGAACTGTGTGACGATTATGATGACACCAAGAATGAGTTCTACTTTGACCGGAACCCGGAGCTCTTTCCATATGTGCTGCATTTCTACAACACCGGTAAACTCCACGTCATGGGGGAGCTGTGTGTTTTCTCCTTTTGCCAAGAGATTGAATACTGGGGTATCAATGAATTTTTTATAGACTCTTGTTGTAGTTACAGCTACCATGGGAGGAAAGTGGAACCAGAACAGGATCAATGGGAGGAGAAAAAGTGAACAGGAGAGCACCACTTCTTCCTTCGATGAGATCCTGGCATTTTATCACGATGCTTCCAAGTTTGATAAACAGCTGTTTGGCAACTTCAGAAGAAGACTCTGGCTAGCCCTTGATAACCCAGGCTATTCCATCCTGAGCAGGATCTTCAGCATCCTCTCCATCATGATAGTGATTGGATCTATCGTAACAATGTGCCTGAATAGCTTGCCAGACTTCCAGATAGTAAATGCTAATGGAAGTATGGACGAGGACCCTCGCTTTGAGATAGTGGAACATTTTGGAATAGCTTGGTTCACCTTAGAGTTGGTGGTCCGTTTTGCTGTATCTCCAGATGTAGCTGTGTTCTTCAAACACCCCCTGAACATCATAGACCTGATCTCCATAGCTCCATTTTACATTACATTAATTGTCAACTTGGTGGTGGAGAGCAGCCCAACTCTGGCTAACTTGGGGAGGGTCGCTCAAGTGCTCAGACTTATGAGGATTTTCCGGATTCTGAAACTTGCCAGACATTCCACAGGTTTGAGGTCTTTGGGGGCAACTCTGAAATACAGCTACAGAGAAGTGGGGTTGCTGCTTCTGTATCTTTCTGTAGGAATTTCTATATTCTCTGTAGTGGCTTATACCATTGAAAAGGAGGAAAACGATGGATTGGCCACAATCCCTGCTTGCTGGTGGTGGGCCACTGTCAGCATGACAACAGTAGGCTACGGGGATGTGGTCCCAGGTACTATAGCTGGCAAACTGACTGCTTCTGCTTGTATCCTGGCTGGCATATTGGTTGTTGTGCTTCCCATCACTCTCATATTCAATAAGTTCTCTCATTTCTACCGGCGACAGAAACAATTAGAAAATGCCATGAGAAGCTGTGATTTTGGGGATGGGATGAAGGATGTGGCTTCTGTCAATCTGAGGGACTACTATGCCCAAAAAGTCAAATCTCTGATGGTTAGCATGACAAATATCAGTAAGAGCACGCCAAGTGAGCAGAGTCTCAATGATTCAATCAATTAGATCGCAGCAAAGGACCACTAAACACACATTAAAATTTGGTTTATGTAAATCATTTTTAATAATATACCTGAAAAATATGTAAAAATTTCAGAAAAGTATCAATACTCAAAGCTGAACTCACAAAATTATCATAATGCCCTCTGCCTAGCTGATAAAGGATTTCATGCTCATTTTGTCTAGGGATTGAGATAATAGTTAATAAATGACTTACCTTAAAGCTGTTTTAAACCTAAAAAGACATGCTGGTAGGTTAATTGAATCCTGTCTAAATTGTATGTGTATATATGAGTGTGAGTTAGGGACCTTTAGAGTGTACGCCTTTTGAGGTTTACAGACTGATGTGAATATACAATATATATGTAAAGTGCTGCGTAAACTGACGGCGCTATATAAGTACCTGAAATAAATAATAAATAAAATAAAAACCAAAAATATAATTTAATGCAGCTTACCAATCCTTAGATGTGGTGGCAGCATTTGTTTTCTTAGACTTTTCCCCTCTGTTTTCACTTGATGATCTGGCCAGTAACAAACCTCCTGTATTAGAGTGCCCCCACTTTGGATGAAGGAGCACAGGGGGCACCTTAGGACAGCAGCATTTTCAATCTTGGGGCAGGGGATTGTTGAGCTATCTGTAGATGGGTAGAATGTCAAATGAAAATTTGAAAAAAATGTTCTAAGAAAGTTTGTTCATCATTTTTCTAAACATTAATGTGTCAAATCAATGTTCTGACGAGAACATTCAAATGAGCAGGATGGAAATTTTTCTTGAACAAACGAATTTCTAACAGTGCATGTGGTTTTCTTTTGGTAAAGTCAATTCATTCCAAAATCAAATTATAAAAGCAAGCAAAATCTTTTGAATGACATTTGAATGTTCTGAGAATGTTTTGAGAATTTTATCATACAAATTTTCCTATGAATTTTCATTCTCAGCTTTAGATGTACTAGCAGATTTAGATATTCTAACAAACTGAAGCTTAACTCCAGCTCACACTTTATAAGCAGTTGCAGCAACAGTTCTTTTTTTTTTTTTGGGATAGTTTACATAAGTAAACAAAAGCTAATCATTGGAGCACCTCTATCAGTACTAAATGGTTTGTCTCAACCCTGTAATTGCTACATCTGCAGGACAGCTTGTTCTGTTGAAAAAACAACAGACTTACTAGCCAGATCACCAAGTGAAAAAAATAAGGGAAAAAAAAGAAAACTAATGCAGCTATCACATCTAAGAATTAGTAAACTGAAATATAATAACTTTCTGCTTTTGGGTTTAACACCACTTTAATACAGGGTCCTATGGCAGTCGACAATCTGCTTTTCTTCTCTCCAAAGCTGGAATGTGGGCAGGATTTCCTACAATATCACGTACAATGAAGGCCCAGTACTGGGCTGGCCCCTTAGGGCACATGATGTTGGCAGGAGGTAGGGGGTGGCAACAAGACAGGTTGGAGATGGGCAAGATAATCGACTTCCAGGCGCGGATCATCACAACTGGAACCGGAGGAGCGGTAGACTGCAGTAGCCCGGGTTTAAGGTAAGTACTTATCTGTTATATCACATCCCTTTGAAAAAAAACAAGCATGTGTTCCTTTAGTAGCTGGGGAGAGTGGCATAGTGAAAATGTATAAATACTGTAAGTTATGCTTTGATATCACTTAACATCATAAGTATCATAGAAAGTAGTAGTAGGTATTTCCCAACATAGAATAAACCCAACTATTTCTTCAGGTTAAAGAGTTCTCTGACCAATGAGCAGGATGCCTGGAGAAAAGAGATAAAGTTTGTGATATTCCTTGTGTGTATTTACTTTTTCACACATATTTGATAATGTTGTTACTACTCCTTTCACATAAACTAAGTTTTTTCTTTTAGCTTTAGTGGTCCTTTAAAGAGAGTAGGTCAGATTGGTAACGTCACATATCTATGTATTAATGCAAAACAAAGAGATTTTCTTGGACCTCTATTAAGCTGATTTAAAACCTGGCAACACCTTGCCACAAAGTACAAGTCTGCACAACTTATCGATGTTGCTCCCTCGTTGGCATGAAAGCTGCAGATTCCTGATTACCAGAAAGGACGCAATGAAGGAGAAACATGTAGGCAGCAAGAAGGCAACACCACAGGAGAAAGTGAGCAGACTTTTAGTGATTCTGATACCAGCAACCAGAATTGCCAGTGTAACATGACCCTATGGAGCTTAGAAAACCTAAACAAGCAAGGACATCATTGACATGGTAGAGAAAGTGACATTTGTAAGTGAAATTCTAAGCCAAATGCAAAATTGCCTTAGAATGTCAGCTCACCCAGAACCTATATTTCTTAGTCAATAGTTTTTATTAAGGTTTCAACAAGTACAAAGAGAGTAATGCAGACAAATACATGTGTATACATTCAGAAGGACAATATAGTTTTAGGTCATGGTTCACAGAACGGCACAAGTAACTCTGGACCATTTGCTAAATAACTGGATATGACATGGCAGATTCAGTGTATGACAACTGTCCCAACCATGGGAGATTTAGCATAGGCTAGCCCAATATGGAAAATGTATACTGTACCTATTACTGTACCTATTAGATCATATAAGTCACTGGTCACACCACTACGATTTAAAATCACATGATTTGTGTGCAAATTCAGAGTGATTTCAGGTGTGATTTCTGAAGACTTTATTGCTACTTATGAAGATTTTCAAAATTTTCTTCCAGTTTGCAGTGCAATTTCCATTATATTCTATGTATGTGAAATCGCAACAAAACTGCAGAAAAAGCAATGCAAGAACTGCAGCAAATTGCAAATGTTAAGACACTGACATTCACATTCATTAAATGCGATTTCAATTCCCAAATTGCACCTGAAATCGCACCCGTATGACCAGGCACTTCAAGAATTAAATGTAAAGGGATAGAGCTAGTTCCTAAGAACAGATTTGCTACATCTACAGTACCCATAGGGAATGTAGGAAGAACAAGGAAAATAATGAATTTGAAGAAACAGACGAAATGAAGATGAGCAGAAAAGAATATTGCAAGCAAGAATGGAGGAGGAGAAGAGAGGGCAAAAGATACTTTCCTTATCCCTCCCCCACGTCCATCCCCAGAGGGTCAGCCAACCACCCAGTTGTGGTTATATATATTCAAAACTCCATACTAGGTTAATGAGTATGCTATCCATGGGGACCAGATCTTAAGAAACGTAACAAAATGAAGTAGCCAGTAATTTTTCATTGGAACCATATTTCATATTTATTTTTCAGTCGATATTCACTTACACACTTGCTTGCTATAAATCATGACTCCACAGAGAGGTCTACCCACTGCAGTTCCTGGCTTGTCCTTTCTTTTCCCAGAATCCTATGTATACTTCTGCAGAGACACCAAGTATGGGGAAGCCCAGAGAGGGGGGAAAGGGGTGCTAAGCCAAGTTCTCCATCCCTTGCTTTGGCTGATAAGCTTTTTGATCTAACAAAATCAAATCTGACACAAAAAATCTCTAGCCATGTGCCAACTTTAGAGGGTCCAGATTCTTCACATTTAAAGAAGTCTCATTTCTTTTTGGATTGCAGTGTAGTACTTTGTCCCATCTAACCACGTGGTGTGGAAGGCTAGCTACCTGGTTGGACAGGACAAGGCCCCCTCCCCAATGCTGTCTGACAATGCACCTAGCAAGAAGATGCCTGCATTGATAGCTGACACTTATCTCCGGCTCCAAGTGCCAGCAAGAGGAATGCAGAGGGAGGGTAGCCCTTCTTTTTGCCAATGTTTGCCTCAGGATAGTGCTTGGGGTTGGAGATCAGTTCTGGCTATCAATGTAGCTGTCTCCTTTCTAGCCAAGTTGTCAGACCAACCTAGAGGGAGGGGGGGGAGTGTCCAGTCTTCCCACAAAGCTAACCTTCCACAGCATAGGAAGATGGGACAAATTACCACATGTACTTTATCTGTTTAGAGACAGAATACTGTATAAGAGAGATAAGTGCCCACTACCATGTTGGAGATATGTGCCGGCTATCAATGTAGCCATCTCCTTGCTAGCTGGGTTTTTTGGATGGCCATTGGGGAAGACTGGGTGTCCTGTCATCCCACGTAGCTAGCCTTCCACACCACATAGGAATATGGGACAGAACACTGCAATAAAACAGAACACTGTAATAAAAACATTAGACTTCTAATGTAAGATCAGGGGTTTAGTTATGGATCGACAAATGTTGGCAAAGATATAAAAACATGTATATTCATCATTTTGATTGCTCAGTGGGTGACCAGATATGAGCTATGTATAGGGTTGGATTTGAGAATTGCCAACTGTGCCCAATAGTTTTCATTTGCAACTGTCTCTGTGTAATCTGTGTAGAGTTACCAATCTGATGCTAAAAAACAAAACAAAAAAAACAAGCTGATTGCTTGTTACACATTCATTTACACTGTCTACCTGTTGTCATTGCAATAACACTAAAAATAACATCCATACTCCATTTCCATGCGTGGGAGCTGTTCTCCTTGCAGTATCCCATAACTCTTCTCTATACTGTTCCAGCCTTGTGTAGCAGTTACTGTCACTCTTGCTGCCTGGCTTCCACGTGTTGTCAGTCTCCTGTGATACTGTGACAGAATGCACTCTGCACTGATGCAATTGTCCAACCTCTGCAATCACTGTTTGATCTGAGTGTGAGCAATATGTGATGTAACCAGATGTGTTTGTCGTCTGTAGCTCTGTCGGCGGGTGGCCCCTCCTGTATGCATTCAGTGAAATGTGTAAATTACTGTGTATCGGAATGCACTACTGTAATAATGTCTACTGTGTCCCCTGCTGTTAATAGAGAGCAATGGCTTAACTGACATCCTGCAGTTTACTAGGATGGATCTGTGTCTTATTGTCACTTGCAGATTGACCCATTGTTCCGAACATGTACTTCCAATGCTCATTCCAAAATCAGATGTATCATTGAAATTCTCATGTGTTAGCAACATGTGATTTCAATAAAATCTATTATTTTTACT